TATATATATATATATATATGTTTTTTTTTTTTTTTTTGTGTTTGTTTTTAAAAAAAAAATTTTAATATTTTTTTTTTTTTTGGAATTTTAAAAAAAAAAAAAAAAAAAAAAAAAAAATATATATATATATATATATGCACGGAGATAGAGAACAAAACAATGGTTAGGGTTAGAGGAAAAGGGGACGTGTAAATTAGAGGATACAAAGCAGATATGTAGGATGAACAAGTCTAGAGATCTAATGTACACCAAGAGGACTATAGGTAATAAAATTGTACTGTATATGGTATTCATGCTAAATGAGATTTTTTAGCTGCTCTTGTCACAAAAATAAGAAAAAATGGGTAACTGTGTTATGATGGAAGTTAAATTACCTCACTATAATAACCATTACACTATATACATGTATCCCATAACATTATATTGTATACTTTAAATATACACAATAAAAGTCTGCCTAGTAACATTTCCTTATTTCCTTTTTAATCAGTTGATTTCCTTCAAACTAATTAAATCTATCTTTTTTCTTTATCTATTAAAAATCACTGGTTTGAGTAATGATCAAATTTTTTTTCTTTTTTACTTAATACATTGCTTTTGTTGAAATATAAAAGATTTCACTTAAATGTAACTTCTAGTTTTGGGGGGTTTTTTTTTGGTGGCTAGCCAGATCTGGTAATTTTTGATGTCCATTTTCTGTTGAAGTTGATTGCTTACTGTTATATTTCTATCTAGCTATTTTCAAGTTGCTAAAACAGTATTTGGAATAATTAGCCCACTTGTACTTACTTGCCAAGTCCTGAGTTCAGAATTTTGTTTTCAAGATGAAGATAAAAGCACCTAAAGGTCAAGGAAAATGTCCTTCCCGCAATAAAGAACCTGAAAATAAAAAGAACATTAAAGACAGGATATAGCCCCTCACTGGTGCTAGATGTATTAGTGTGCAAAATTAGTCAAACAAACCAAGCTATTCTAAAATGCATCACTACCACAAACTCGGAACAATCATAAAGCAGTTACTCTCTACCTGCACTGGTATTAATTTTAAAAAGATGTCAGAACTCTTGTTAGCAGTGGTTCTCAAGCTTTCATGAAACCACTGTCTTAGAGAATCTGATGATACTATGGGCCCTCTTCTTCCCATAAAAATGTATACATAATTGTGCATAAAATTTCCAGTAGTTTATAGTTCCCTACTTAAAACCCTTGCTTTAGTGTGGATGACCACCCCCCTCTGTAAGGTAGGGAGGAAGAATGTTCCATTGTTTTCCTCTGGCCCGTTTTTTCTCCTCCTGGATGAGATGAAAAAACTACTACTACAAAAGCAACAAAAAAGGTCTCATTTAGAAGTGCTTCTTTACCTGGTATTTTCAGCTTTGTTAAATACCGGGCCAGCAAAGAGCATATAATCTGCCAAAAACATTGATGTGTATGTCCATTCCAACCGGACCCAACCAATGTACCACATTTAAACAGGTTCACCAATTCAGAAACCTAGTAACAGAAACATTTCCCAGAATTTAACTGAGACCCCCAATAAGATGTTGTAACAATCCAAATTACAAAAAGAGGGGCTGGCAGGTTAGTTCAGTTGATTAGGGCGTGGTGCTAACACCAAGGTCCAGGACTCAATCCCTGTACCGGCCAGCCGCCAACAAAAAAGAAAAAAAAAAAAATTACAAAAAGAGGTAATCCCATAAAGTTAAACAAGAACCGAATAAAGTTAAACAAGAACCGAATACAAACGATACAAACGACAGTATTGATACTCAGCAACTCCACCACATTACAAAAATTACATTAAAATTTCCCAAAACTATTTCTCATTTTCTCTCTATAAACTTAATATTATACTCTGACTCCTTCAGTTCTGGGTCTGAAACCAACTCAATATCGGTTAATTCTACCGAGATCTAGAGTCAAACGAAATTAATGCGCCATTAGGCCATTATCAGGACGTACAGGGACAAAGCTGCTTAACTCAGACCACAAAAGTGTGGGAGGTGGGAGTAGGAACAAATGGACATAGCAAAGGTTGCAACAGGATGTCCACGATACTCATACTCAGATGAAAATCCCGGGGGAAACTGTTACACCAGATCTCAAGGTCAACGGGCTGGACCCAAAATACTCAGTGCCACAACAGGTCTCGACTGATACTGAAGCCTCGGGCAAAAGAGTGGGCACGAAGAAGTGAGGCTAGAAGTATAAATAAATCAATAACACAAAGATATTCTTCAAAAATAAACTGACGGCCGACGCAGGTCCTGCCAGATATAGCCCCGCGTGGGTGCAATCCCCGGGGAATGAGCCGAAAGCACAAAGGCACTGCACTGGGAAGGACAGTGGCGAGTCAAGGAGAGAGTGGGCTGTGCGACTAATCCTGACGGCGGATGCGGGCCGCCCTGGAACCGCCGAGGACGGAAACCCCTACGGCCAAGGCCCGGGTCCGCTGCAGGCAAGTTCCCGCGCGCTCCCGTCCCCGGCCGGGTTGGGCTGCGCCACCTCCTCTCCGCCTGCTCGTCCCTCAGTCGCTGGCCTTCTGCGCTTACCTCACACAGTCCAACAGATGCACTCGGCCTCCCGGGGGCCCGTCGCCCCCGGCCCAGAGGCCAGTTGGCCGCAAAGGGCCTCACTCCGCCATCTTCGCTCCTTCTCAAGTCCTCCAACCCCGCGGCAGGCCGTTTTCACAAGCCCCGCCCCCAATGAATATTGATTGGGCACCGGCTGCTCGCGCGCGCTCTCCTTCCATCGTAGGTTGGTTGGAATGTACGTCAATCAATAGCGCTCTCCCTTGACTTTCGTTCTTCTTTTGTCGGATTGGGTCGTGGGGTTGAAGTAATAGGGAAAAATGTTTTTGTAAATCATTTCTTACGAATGTAAAATTGTTTCCGCCAGTGTCACATCGTGGTGAGATAGGCTGACTAGACCGAATGTCTGTTTTAAGCCACCTTTAGGTTAAACTATGGTACTAATAAAATAATTTTATTTTCAGGTCAGGCCCGAGGGCTTTTAATATTGGACGTAACCCAGCACCTCAGCGAACAATTTAATGGTTCCAGTTTGTGTCTAACTTTGACCCCTTTAGACTCTTAAAGGGCCTGAGCGTGCTGTTTGCAGCGCTGGTCAGTGCACAAGAGCAGGATTCGTCACTTTTTGAGGGCCCTTCTGCCGAATGTCAAACTGTTACGACAGGCAGTTATGTTGTTTCCTACACCCAAGGACTGACCTTTTCATAAAGCGATGGTTGCAGGAGAGGCAGGGAGGGTAATGCGGTGGCTCCTCTTGATTGTGACAAGCGGACCCCTGGGTAGGCGGTGTAGGTCCACAGTGCTTCCCATTTAAGGTAGTTTTTTGTTTTTTGTTTTGCGGGGGCGGGGGTTTCGGCTGGTGGGTATAGGGATCGAACCGTGGACCTTGCCGTTATTAACACCACCGCTCTAACCAACTGAGCTAACCCGCCAGCCCCGCAGTGCTTCCCACAACACCACAACGGCTGTCATCTGGGCTTCTTCTTAGAAATACGGACTCCTAAGGCTGCACCTCCCCAAGACCAAATTCCCTAAGTCTTCCGATAAGGCCGAGGAATCTTATTTTTACAGAAGCTTATGGTGATACAGAGTAGAGCATCTATGGAAAAACCCATAACTCACATCATATTAAAGAGTAAGGCCATACTTTTCCTTTAAGATCAGGAACAAGACAAGGACACCGGCTCTCACCACCTCTATTGAACGTTGTACTGTCGGGGTAGCCAGGGAAAAAAGACAAACAAAAGGCATGCAGATTGGAAGAAATAAAACTGCCTTTATTTGCAGATTACATGATCCTCTGTAGAAAATCATAAGGAATCCACAAAAACGGCAGGTACCAGAACTAATAAGTTTAGCAAGGTCCCAGGATACAAGATCAGTATACAAAAATCAATTGTATTTCTGTTGTCAACCCTGAGAGACAGAGAGACCAACTCTCCAAAGCAAAGAGTTTATTTGGGAACAGCAGGAGATTGCAATCTGGGAAACGGGTGTTATGGCAGACCACAGAAGCATCCAGAGAGGCTGGGGCTGGAGAAAGCTTTGAAAGAAATAAACAAGTCCACCTAAGCTTTTTGAAACAAAGACTATAGGTTACAGGGGCGGTTACAAGAATTATTATTAGTTCATCAGTAAAGACAGCCATGTCAGGCAAGTGTCCTTGTGCAGGCAGCTTATTTGGAATACTGTGGTTTGGAAGAATTCCTTGCATAGTTCTGTCATAGGCATATATGTATGAGGGGCTCTTCTTCACGGCCTCTCTGCCCCCATTTTGTTAGGGTTTGACATTAGTGACTCCATTTTGATACTGATAATTTTCACTGTATACTAGCAACAAACAAAATGAAATTAAGAAAACAATTCCATTCACAATAGCATCAAAAAAGATTAGGAAAAAATTTAATAAAACATGTGTAAGTCTAGATTGTTGGAGAGTGAAATCATTAAGAGCATGGGCTATACAGAGTTCCTAGGTTTGAATCCAAACTCTTTATCGATAATTAGCTGTGTGAATTTGATCTTGAAAAAAAAATCACCTCTCTATGCCTTAATCTCCTCACCTGCAAAACAGTGATAAAAACTGTACTTGCCTCCGAAGGTTGTTGTGAGTGTTAAGAGCTAACATATATCAAGCACACAGAAACAGTGCCTTGCATACAGTAAATTTCATATAAATGTTAGCCATTTTTGATTGAACACAAATTATTAGGATAATTTAGTCTCTAGTCTTCCACAGAGGGATTGTATTAACTGCTTTTCCAGCTTCATGTTATCTAAAAAAATTAGTAAACACCATTTTTATGCCTTCATCTTTGAATGTTGAAAAGGACTGGACCACTGACAGAGAAGTCTGTGGTATGGCATGGAAGGCTTTCCTTAACTCTGACACCAATGTTTTATTGTAAATAGCTTTATTCAGATAATGCATATACTACACAATTCACCCATTTAAAATGTACAATTCAATGGCTTTCAGCATATTCTCAGTCATGCATCCATGAACACAATACATTTTAGAACATTTTAATTACTCCAAAGGCATACTCTATATGCCTTAGCTGTTACCCCACAACCTACAATTCCCCCAGCCCTAAACAATCACTAATCTACTTCCTGTATCTATAATTTGCCTGTTTTGAACATTTCATATAAATGGAATCATGCGATATGTGGTCCTTTGTGACTGACTTCTTTCACTTAGCATATTTTCAAGGTTCATCCATGCTGTACCATGTATCAGTACATTTCTTTTTATTGCCAGATAACATTCCATTGTATAGATAAACTACATTTTATTTATCCATTCATCACTTAATGGACATTTGGGTTGTTTCTACTTTTTTACTATTATAATGCTGTTATGAACATTCCCGCACACATTTTTATTGTAGATGAATGTTTCCATTTCTCTCTGGTATATACCTAGGAGTGGAATTCTAGGATATGGCAACTCTATCCATTTGAATAACTACCAGCTTGTTTTCCAAATTGGCTGCACCTTTTCATATTTCCACCAACGATGGATGAGAATTCCAATTTCTCCACATGTTCACCAACACTTGTTATGTGTTATGTGGGTGTTTTTTTTTTTTTTTTTATTGTTATGGCTATCCTAGTGGGTGTGAAGTGGTATCTCATTATGGTTTTAATTTGCATTGGCTAATGATGTTGAGGCATCTTTTCATGTGCTTATTGGCCATTTTTATATTTTCTTTGAAGAACAGTCTATTATTCAGAGCCCTTGCTCATTTTTTAATTCTGTTATTTGCCTTTTTAAAAAATGTTACTTTTTTAAGTTGTGGAAAAATACATATAATGTAAAATTTAACATCTTAATCATTTTAAGTGTACAGTTCAGTGGCATTAAGTACATTCATATTTTTATGCAACCATCACCATCTGAATTCTTTTCATCTTGCAAAACTGAAACTCTGTACCCATTAAAAATAACTCCTCATTTTCCCCATCCCTCAATTCTACTTCCTGTCTCTATAAATTTGACCCCTCTAGGTGCCTCATGTAAGTGGAATCATATAGTATTTTTCCTTTTGACTGGCTTATTTCACTTAGTAATATGTCCTCAAGTTTCATCCATATTGTAGCATGCATCCGAATTTCCTTCCTTTTTAATGCCAAATAATATTCTTTTATATATATATATATCACATTTTGCTTATCCATTCATCCCTTGATGGATACTTGAGTTGCTTTCTAGTTTGTCTATCATGAATAATGCTGCTGTGAATATGGGTCTACGAATATCTCTTCAAGACCCTGCTTTCAATTATTTTAGGCATATACCCAGAAGTGGAGTTGCTAGATCATATGGTAATTGTGTTTTTAATTTTTTGAAGAACCAACCACTATACTGTTTTCCATAGCAGCTGCACAATCTTACATTCCCACCAATAGTGCACAGGAGTTCCATAATTGGGTTGTCCTTTTATTTTTGAGTTGTAGATTTTTATATATTGTAGGTACGAATCCCTTATCAGATATATGATTTGCAAGTATTTTCTCCCATTCTGTAGATTGTATTTTCACTTTCTTAATAATGTCCTTTGGACCACAAGTTTTTACTTTTGATGATCCATTTAAATTTTTATTTTGTTTGTACTTTTGATATCATATCTAAGAAATCATTGCCTAATACAAGGCCAGACATGCCCATGTTTTCTCTTGACAGTTTTATAGTTTTAACTCTTACATTTAGGTCTTTGATCCATTTTGAGTTAAACTTTGTACATGCTGTGAGGTAGGGGCTCAGCTTCATTATTTTGCATGTGAATATCCAATCACCCCAGGTATACCAAAAGACTATTCCTTCCTCCACTGAATTGCTTTAGCAGTCTTGTCAAAGATCAATTGACCATGAATGTGAAGGTTTACTTCTTTTTTTTTTTTGTCTTTTTCCGTGTCCGGCAACGGATCGCAACCCTCAGTGTCGCCCCCGCACCGGACCGGGACCGGCAACGGGACCGCAACCCTCGGTGTTGCTCCCGTGCCTCGCTCAGCCAGTGAGCGGGAACCGGTCTGCATGTGGGATCCGAACCCTCGGGCGGGAGCGCCGCCGCGCTTCCCAAGCGGCACACTATCCAGTGCGCCACCGGGCCGGCCCTGAAGGTTTACTTCTTGATTCACAATTCTAGTCCATTATCTATATTTCTATCCTTATACCAATACAACACTATCTTGATTACTGTAGCCTTGCAGTAAGTAAATTTTGAAATTGGAAAAGTGTGATACTTCCGATTTTGTTCCTCTTTTTCAAAAGAATCTTTTAAGATCTTTTTTTTGGACCATGATCTTAGATTCTTGGCGTATGGTTATTCAACTACCATCTTCAAATAAATCAGCTATAATCTAACCCAATTTCTTCCATCTTAACCATATGAATACTGAGACCCATCCATATGCTTTGATGAAATCAACAATGCAGTGCCTATCTCATTGATCCAACATAAGAATTTAATAAGATTTTTTTTTTTTTGTCCTTTTTGAGACCGGCCGCACCGCACTCAGCCAGTGAGTGCTGTGAGCGCACCGGTCATCGCTATATAGGATCCGAATCCGTGGCGGGACTGCTGCCGCGCTCCCAGCGCCGCACCCTCCCAAGTGCACCATGGGCTTGGCCCTTAATAAGATTTTGAAATAAGTGAAGGGAGAGTAATTCAGAATACTTAATTCTTGGCCAAACACGTCAGCATTCCAGTGATCATCGAATTCTCTTCCATGTCTTTACAAACCATGTAATGACTCATTCTAAAATTCTGCTAGGGAATACTGTCAAATAGACAAGTGGATCATTTCTTTTTTTTTTTCCTTTTTGTCTTTTTTCGTGACCGGTAACGGGATCGCAAACCTCAGTGTCGCGCCCGCACCGTGACCGGCAACGGGATCGCAACCCTTGGTGTTGAGATCTTTTTTTATTCATTTTTGTTGTGATGCCTTCAGGGTTAATGAATTGCTTAGGATTATTTGGTGTGCACTGGAATGTCTTTGGAGCTATTTGGTTTTTCATAGGCTCTCCTTTGTTAAGCTTCCCTAGGTTGTCAATGTTCCCATTTCTAGCAGTGACTCCACTAATATAGCTACTTACTACAGTGACTCCACTAATATAGCTACTTACAATTTGTTATTGGCTGGATGATCAAATCACCAAGTTTATTAGAATTTTTTCTAAAGAAATTGTGTGTTTTAGTGAGTAAGAGATTTTCTTGTGAATGGAACACTAAGTCTCTGGTTAATGGTGCTTGATACATTTGTAGAAGACCAAAGAGCTTCTTTGATCAATTCTTATTTCTTTAGCCACAATCAGGTACCGAAGATGACAATTCACCTACATGGTGCACTTCTTGAATAGACTGCAAAGTGTAGTAGGAAGTGTCAGGACCCAGTCTCCAAATAAACATTCTTGCTGCTTTTGATGAGAGAACAAAACCTCAGTGCCTAGAAAACCAAAGGGTATAGGCATCTTTTTTTTTTTTTTTTTTAAAAGATGACCGGTAAGGGGATCTTAACCCTTGACTTGGTGTTGTCAGCACCATGCTCAGCCAGTGAGCGAACCGGCCATCCCGATATGGGATCCGAACCCGGGGCCTTGGTGCTATCAGCATCGCACTCTCCCAAGTGAGCCACGGGCCGGCCCGGGTATAGGCATCTTGAGAACAAGTCCTTGATCAGCTTTACCTCAAGTAAAGATGCCAGGCCAGTTACTTACTCCATCTTAAAAAAGATGAGACTTCATTGTTGTCTGTTCCCTCCCAGAGCTGTGAAGAAACACCCTGCAGTCGCTCACAAACTTAACAGGTAAAACTCCTTAAACTGCTTGGTGTGAAGGAAAAAAAAGAAAATTTCTAAATTGGTGTTTCTAATAAACTAGATGTTAAACAGATGTGTATTGGAAAATACATGCCATCTTGAGTTTGAATTACTAGTTAACTCAAAGCATAGCCAAAGTAATGTGAATTTCAGGAATTTCTGTCCAGTAATGATGACTTCCTTCTGAGCAATTCTGCTGTTAGTGTTTGGGGAATAGGATAAATACCTGGTTTGTAGCATAAGAAAACTAGCTTGTAAAAGGTAGCTCTCTGTGAGGCATCTCTGCAGTAAATACTTGCTCCAAATCCTAATGGACAGAATTTATTTTAATGGTGTTTTAAATACAACACGAGGCTGGCCAGTTAGCTTAGTAGGGCAGAGCACGACTTTGTAACACCACCAAGGTCAAGGGTTCAGATCCCCATACCAGCCAGCCACCAGAAATAAATACTACACTTGACAACATGACTCTAAAATCAATTTGGAAAAATAGGTGACCATAAAGAATATTCTAAAAAGAACACTAAAGGTAAAAGAGAGTAATTCAATTGCTTGTGGCATTCATTTCTTTTGAAACCTATCAAAAGCTATAAGTATATGTTCAAACTCTGACTTAATAATCCTACTCCTATAAAATTTTTTCAAAGAAAAAAGTTATATGCAATACTCATATAACAATATCAATATTCTATAACAGATAAAATTGGAAACAATAAGCAAACAAAGTATGACTAAATAAGTATTACATCAGGTTGGTAAAATATTAAGAAGGAACAGATAACATGGGGAAACATCACATTAATTTTAAAAGCTGATATAATCTTGTATTATTATTATTATTTTCTTTTTTTTTAAAAAGATGACCGGTAAGGGGATCTTAACCCTTGACTTGGTGTTGTTAGCAGCATGCTCTCCCAAGTGAGCTAACCGGCCATCCCTATACAGGATCCAAACCCGTGGCCTTGGTGTTATAAGCACCACACTCTCCCAAGTGAGCTAACCGGCCATCCCTATACAGGATCCAAACCCGTGGCCTTGGTGTTATAAGCACCACACTCTCCCAAGTGAGCCATGGGCTGGCCCTTATAATCTTGTATTATATTCCATTTATGTTCAAGTACATAATGCATTGATAAACCAGAAGGGAGCAAGGGAAATAAAATTAGTTAAGGGGATTTTCCTCAAATTGTATATAATGTTGTAATGTTTTTATAAGTTTGATATAGTATCAATTAAGTTTTATTTAGTCAAAGACTGGTATACCTGTGGCCATAGTAACATCAAGATTCCTCCAAAACTGACTACATGGTCATTTTATCTTGCACTTTTCTCCAAATCCTAAAATTAGACACGAAGTGAAGCAAAGCTGAAACAATGTACAAGTCACTTTGAATGGACTTTTGTGGCAGAAGGTTGGGAAACGGACAAAAGGGTATCATGTTAGAACTCCAGATGACCAATTCCAGCTATTACTGCTTTGTGTCCTGTGGCATACCACTAAATCTTAAAGTAAGAAGAGACAAGTGACAGACTAAGCAATCACAAGCTTGAAAATGTTAAAAGCCATGTAAACATTGAGTACAATATGTCACTGAGGCTACACGTGAATGAGAGGTGGGCAAATTAATAATAAGCAATAGACAGATACACCATTTTTAGGCCTTTTCTTCATTTAAGGACTCAGTGAGTCAAAAACATAACTTGAATCTTGCCTGGAATGAATGGGAAGTAGCTGAGGGCTACAAAACTGTACAGAGAGGCAGACAGTGCTGGCCCCTAGATGAATGCTCCCACTTCATGTGTCCAGGCAGTGGCAGAGCAGACGTACATTTGATAGTACAGACATAAAGCTGAGTAAGGGAGACACAGTTTGTGATTTCAGACTTGAAGAAGGGAACTGAGTTATATAAAATTCTTGTAAAACACATGGACAAAATCAACCAAATTATTTTGTTTTAACCACAAGTATTTATTGATGGGTCAAAGAATACAATTTTAATGGAACAATAAGGCACAACTGTGGATTGAAACAGTTTGCTACACAGCCAAAAGAGGGAAAAAGCCTTAATTTTAGGAACTTTAAATATGCAAATCAAGGAGCCTCTGAAGTACCTCTCTAACAGATCAGTATCAGACAATTCTTCCCTTTTATATAATTCTTATATTACATAACTTGATCACAAAGTCAGACTGATACTTCATAAAAATTCCTCATTCATTTATACTTGAGCCATCCAGCCTGGCCACCGTCCAGTTCTCCACCCTTCCCTATCCCTTTGCAGTGGTATTTTTTTAAGAAATCCCCTCCTAAAGAATAGTGTATACGTCTTGGGATAGCCTTCCAAAGCAAGGAAACAAGCAAGCAAGCAAAGAGTCAGAGAAAGTCAGCCAAGGACAGATATATGAATAAATAGACTCATACAGACATACATTAGGATGGTAACAGCCTGATTCAATGAAATCTAAACTAAACTGACTTTGGCAGAGAAGTTGCTCTGGCTCACTCGAAGACCTGTAATGCCACCTTAGGTTGTGCCACCAGTGCTGGACCCCTTGTTTCTAAGGGATTAGCAGTGGTTTACATGAGGAGCTAGGAAGCTAATGTAACCAGGCAGCTAATGATACAATACATTCAATGCTTTGGACCTGTATTAGGAACTGACTATGGCTTCCAGAATTAACATTTGCCAAATGTAAAATTCATAAAGAATTCTGTGCAAAACTTCAAGACACTGAGGACAGTCTTTAAGTCTTTTAGACTGGGATAAGTTAGGCACTTCCGTAACACTAATCTTTCTACTTGGAACTGTGAAGTGAAAAACATTCCAGTGCACATGACACCGAGGCATAAACCATGCTGCAGAGGTGTGAATGAAGGAGGCTTTATTGGGTGCCCAGCCTTCTTGTTCAGAAAGCCATGAGAAAGTCCCCAAGCATACTGTCAGAGCAGCCATTCTGGAGGTGACGGTGTCTCAAATCTAAGAAAACCTGCAGGCATATGGCTATTTTCTGAATGGTCAACACTGCACTAACAAGAGGAGCCATATAGGCACATAAGTTGAGAATCAGAGGCCAGAGGTAGAGCAACCTGGGCAAGCCACATAGAAGACCTGGCTCTATACCTCTCACCAGGGCCACCTTTCAAGAAAGACATCTCCATCTAGCAGCCCTTTGATGACAGAGCAGAGTGCAGGGGACCAAGAGATGGTCATATTCTTCTGAGAAAAGTGTTGGTTACTGAAAAGCTCCTGGAGAGGCAACATCCCAGAGACCCATTTAAGAATGAAGGTAGATAAAAGCTACCAGACCACTGAACTATCCTGCCAAGTCAGAAATATATTTAACCGGCACAGCTTGGGGTGCCAAGTAGAACAGGGGGGATTTTGAGGCTCAGTAAGAAGCTAGGAGACTGAAAGATGAAGTGAATGCTATGTTGGGTGACAGGGAAGTAGGAAGCAAAGGACATATAAAGGGATGAAGAAGCGTGCTGAAGCCTCGCTGGAGGGAAGGCGGCATGGCTGCAGCTGACATCCAGTGAAAGAGCTTTGCTGGCTGGTTCTTGGCATGATTCTCTCTCTCACTTTCTTAGACTGGATGGATGTGTGACATTCAGCAACAGAATGGAGGAAGATGATATTTATAAATGGAAAACTGGTGAACGGATACTTAACAGAAATAGACTGGGTGTACCATTCTGTAATGCCCTGTTTATACACCAAAGGTAGGTTTGTTTTGACAGAACATATTTGGGGTTGTCATGCAACAGCAGTAGTACTTGGGGAGAAGGGAAAAAATGGGGTGGAGGTGGGGGTAGTGGACAGGAGGACTCTCAAGTTCCAGTTCTTAAATACTAGAAAGCAAGGAACAGTTTGGTCTCCATCCTTTAATGAAGAAATCGTATGCTCATTTTCTGTTCTACGTCCACCTTCTCTAAAACCTGGGAGGGGGGTAGGGCACAAAATGAATTATAGTTATGAAGGTCACAACAGTCCCAAGCTCTTATCTGAATAATGGTTCCCCCCCCCCCCACTGTGCGGTATAATTTAACTTTTTCAAACCGCAAGGTGAACTGACCTTAACAAATTCTGTGAAAGATATGGCACTGTCCCCATCCTGATCAGCCTCCTGGATGGTCCTGTCTGCGATGCTGCCCAGCTGCTCATCTGAGATATTCACTCCAACCATCATGCGTAGCACCTGCAGGACCAAGAGCCAGGAATTACAGGGGATTTGGGAGTCAGAGGGACTCTTTTACTAATATTAAAGATAAAGTCTCCCCACCCCCTTTTCCTTTGAAGCCCTCAAATATAATAGCTAGAAAGCTGAAAGCCTTATCTTCTCATCTGGGCCATGTAGACAACGATGTGCACAGAACTTTCTGGCAAGGTCACTGGATAGGACGGCAAAGCCTCCTTCCCATTGTTCCTACCCAGAATGCAAATATAATGTATGGTGGTACAGAAGCCATCCTGGGGCCATGAGGTGAGTCATGGATGCCAGAACAAGAATATGGAAGAAGCCTCATTGCTAGACATCATTAAGGTATTGTACTAGCCTCGACAATCTATCCCCAGACTTCTCGTTGCATCAGGCAAATTAGTTCCTTATTGATTTAAGTCAGTTTGGTGGGGCTTTCTGGAATCCCACCCAAATGCAGTCATCTTTGAGGTGATACATTAAGCCAGCAATTCCTAAAGTATGACCAAGAAACATAAAGATCCTTGAAGGGTAAAATGGTAAATCCCCATAGAAAAATAACAAGCACATTTAAAGGGCTGTGAGAATTGAGTGAAGAGAATTTAACAGTTTCACCAAGTTTGTCTCAAACTTAACCAAGAATCACCCCACAATTTTACTAACATCTTTAGTGTGTGAACATACTTCGAAAATTGCTACCTTAAACAAAATAAGCAACTTTAATGATGTGACTCTTAGACAATATAAAAAGGCTGACTCTCAGACAATATGAAATGGGGGACAGAGTGCTTTTCTTTTTTTTTTTTTTTTTTTGACTTTTGTCTTTTTCCGTGTCCGGCAACGGATCGCAACCCTCAGTGTTGCCCCCGCACCGGACCGGGGACCGGCAACGGGATTGCAACCCTCGGCGTTGCTCCCGCGCATCGCTCAGCCAGTGAGCAGGAACCGGTCTGTATGTGGGATCCGAACCCTCGGGCGGGAGCGCTGCCGCGCTTCCCAAGCGGCGCACTATCCAGTGCGCCACCGGGCCGGCCCCAGAGTGCTTTTCTGATGCCTCAGATCACTGCAGCCAACCCACTTCTGTCTCAAAAGGTAAGGAGCTGAGCTTTTCCATAGGAAGGAAAGGCCTCTAGCCCTTCCTTCCCCACTTCTTTACATCCTTCTCCAATCTCATGAAATAGTTTTAAAGGTAAATTACAGGGTTTTCTGAAAAGAAAAAAAGCTTAAATATTGATTTGTACCAACACTGTTTTTTTTCCCCCCAACAAACCAATCTTGAAAATTGGAAGTTGTACATTTTAGGTACAAATGCACATAAATTGAAAGGTTAATAATAAAGAGGCAAAGCTATCAAAGATGATAAATAGCCAGGACATTTGCCATTTTTACTGTGTGGCCAGCCAAATGAATCCATCCTCAAATAGCAGCTTTTTCAAATCTTGGTTCAATTATTCTCTGAGGTGTTTTATTTTTATAATTATAGCACTGTATTGTGCATGTATATTTGTGTTGTGTGTATAGGGGGGGTGAGGATAGGAGTGGTGGGGTCTTAAAGATCACCTGGTCCAGCCCAGCCCATTAATGAGGACACAAGGGCCCAGAAGTGGCCTGACCTGGGTCCCAGCAACCAGTGGCATGAGCTGTCTGCCCAAGCCTCCATTTTCAAGCCAGTCTGTGCTCCTTCCACCTATACATGTTGCCACTTATCGTTTCAGTTGGATGTTTATTAGCAAATGGGACCTTTATTATTATTATTTAATGTTTGGTAAGGGTTATTGTATATACTCTATCAATTTAAGAAAGCTTCCTTTTATTTTTGTTTTTATAAGGCTTTTTAAATTTTTCTTTTTTTCTTTAATCATGAATGGGTATGAATTTTATCAAATGCTTTTCTCTATGGAAAAGACAACTCAATTTTTCTTCCTTAACCTGTTAAAATGGTGAATGTACTGTTTGATTTTCTAATGTTAAATGAACTCTGAATTCCTAGTATAAACCCACTGTGGCTATAGTATAGTACCCCTTTCACATATTGCTGGAGTCAGTGTGTTAACATTTTGTTTAGGATTTTCATATCTATGTCAATAAAAGATTGGGCTGTAGTTCTCTTTTCTTGTACTGTCTTTATAAGGTTTACATGTCAAAATTTTACTAGCTTCATACAAGGAATTGAGAAGTAGAGCAACTATCTTTATTGAAGTATACGTTATATATATTGAACTGTACATATTTAAAATGTACAATCTGGTAAGTTTTGACATATGTGCATACCCATGACACCATCACCACAATCAAGATAATAAACACATCCATGACCCCAAGTGTTCAACCAGTACCTTTTTTTTTTTTTTTCCTTTTTTGTGTTTTTTACTGACCGGTAATGGGATCGCAACCCTCGGTGTCGCGCCCGTACCGGGGACCGGCAATGGGCTCGCAACCCTCGGCGTTGCGCCCGCACCGCGCTCAGCCAGTGAGCGGGAACCAGTTTCCACATGGGATCCGAACCCTTGGCGGGAGCGCCGCCACACTCCCAAGCGGCGCACTCTCCAGTGCGCCACCAGGCCGGCCCTCAACCAGTACTTTTTACAAGAATCATATTAAGAAAACATGACCACTCAGCCTTTCCTTAAGATAAAGTCATCACAAACTTTTTAACATCCAAAGAATAAGAATTGCAAGTTACCAAATGTGTTAGAAATTGCAGCATCTAGAAAGATAAACTTTGTTCTCTTCTCTCACTTTGGTAAAATGTTCATATCCTCCTCTTGCTAGGAGAAAACTAGTTGTCTGACACTTCAATATTCCATGAACACATTTGTCCCAAAGTCATTCCTGGCCCCAGGAACACTCTAGTGGCACTGACTGGTGCTATGGATATATAGTCTCCTCCCCACTCCCTGCCCCAGGCTTTCTTTATCCTAATAATAGAAAATAAATCAGCCCTCTACTCCCACAAAATCTTTCTGGCAGCCAGATCCAGGCCAGAGGATGAAAACATGCAACACAGAGTGATTGACTCTATCTTTTCTCTTCAGAACTCAGAAGCCCATATGTAACAACTTTCAATAAACTCTTCTTAATGAAGAAAGACATTCTCAACTCAAAAGCAAGGTGGACACAAACACTGACCTGCAGACTGTTTTGATTTTTGCTCAGACATAGTAATGTAGGAATACTTTGGGTTGGTCCTTAATCTGGCCCCAGTAATCTTCAACTTGGAAGACTTCTTAAGACACTGAATGAATTCAGATTTACCTAAGAGTGAGTGGAAACCACTTTACTTTTTAGGTCTATCTCCCCCCCCCCCCCCCACTTTTAAAAAAGCCAGTCAAATTTAGCAATGGGGAGTTGTATACTAACTTTTGTGACACGAGTGTTAATAAGTTCTGATAACTCACTACCATTGGACCATCCTAGGTGTGTCAGAAAAATCTCCCCATGGAAATTCCTGAATGCTAACGCCTCCTAAGGTTCTCCAGACTCATAAATGTATTTTTTAAAAAAAGGATCATTTTCTCCCCTACAAACTTATAGAAGGGGAAAGGAGGTGGGGGGAAGAGAAGAGAAGGGCAATGCTAATAGGATGAAATGTCGGTCACTGATAGTAGGGGAACAGGGAATTGCCCACATGAGCAACAAAGGACAGGCGGCAGTTGGCTCAGGGTACCCTGGCACAGCAGCAATTTCTTGACCAAGGACAAACTAAACAGCAGCATTAATATCATCATAATTAGTTGGTTGCCAACAAGCTGATTTAGCAATCACTGAACTATTTGATCTAAACCATGTCGCATATTTTACTCTGCCAGTCACCACCTAAAAGACATTTAGTTCTTTTTTTTTTCTTAACACAAAATGGACAGTTAGCTTTTAAAAAGTGGAGACATATGTCTGTGAGAACTCAATGAGCCATTTCAAGTTTTCCCAGTTCATCTGCTCTACTTTATATGTAGGACAGGTCTCTGAACCCAGCAGGTGTTAAATACATGCTTACAGTAGGAAAGAACAATTCCTGCCCACAAAAGTAAGCAGGCAGGGCTCAAACACAAGTTATCCGTGAGCTCTCCCACATACCTGTAACAGCTCATCACGTGAGATCTTGTCATCTTTATCCAAGTCGTATAGTCGAAAAGCAACTGGTAGGGAAAAACAAGAAGTTAGTAAAAATTCTGTACTGCTTGCCCCTTCTCAAGGAACTAAATACGTAAAGAACACTAAAGAGAAAATTGTCAGCCAATTAATAGATTTTTCAAGAGCAACTGCCATTACTTGTAGGGATTTTATAGACATTGTAACATTTAAGTAATGGAGAACTGATGGCATCCTACATTTAATAAAATATGGTCTTTTTTCCAACAAATCAGAAAACTTCATAAAAAGAGAAGGCTAAATGTCCTTTTTCTTACCCTAAAATGTTTAAAAAAAAAAAAAACATAACAAAAAAACCCTTAAGTGGTCTGTAAGTTAGGTCATCTTACACAAACCATCAATTCTACTGAGCACCACACAGGGGAAACCACCAATAGGAGCCACATGGGCACCATGACTGCTGACTACACAAAGGATTGCTCTGGAAATATAGCCTCTCTGGCAAATTCACACCAAATTTCAAGTAATTCTCTACCATTTGGGAATCCTGCAGGTGAAGAACTTGAGTTTCAAATAAAAAAATTCCAAGACTCTGATGGTCTCCTGGCCTTATCGTGTTTCTCTCTATTTAACAATAGATAAGGGGCCGGCCCAGTGGCGCACTCGGTAGAGTGCGGCGCTTGAGAGCGCGGCGGCATTCCCGCCGAGGGTTCGGATCCCATATAGAGACTGGTCCGCTCACTGGTTGAGCGCAGTGTGGGCACGACACCGAGGGTTGTGATCCCGTTACCAGTCACGAAAAAAGACAAAAAGGAAAAAAAAAAAAAAAAACCAATAGATAAGGCTTCTAGAAACTAGGATATATAGGAACTTTGCTTGTGTCCATACGAGAAAGAAAATTCAGGTGAGTTAAAATCATTCAGATTTTTGCCATGTTAATGAAAGACCACCAAGTGAATAGTGTTATAGTACTGGATGATGTTTTTTTTTTTTTTGTCTTTTATCTTTTTCCGTGTCCGGCAACAGATCGCAACCCTCAGTGTTGCCCCCGCACCGGACCGGGGACCGGCAACGGGACCGCAACCCTCGGCGTTGGTCCCGCGCCTCACTCAGCCAGTGAGCGGGAACCGGTCTGCATGTGGGATCCGAACCCTTGGGTGGGAGCGCCGCCGCGCCTCCCAAGCGGCGCACTCATCCAGTGCGCCACCGGGCCGGCCCAATACTGGATGATTTTATAGGCACCATGAGAAATCGTTACACCGAGGAAGTGACTGTCTTGTCACATACCTGAATTTTGTGTGGTTTTGAGGTTCTGAATCACTTCAAGTATGCCTCCTGGTTTTCAGTAGGGTGCTTGCTGCAAGTAACAAAAGGCCCAAATCTACTGCTTAGAGTTACTCAGATTCACAGACTTAGATCCTGCCCTTAGGAACTCACGATCTGGTAGAGAGCACACACTATTCACTTTAATAAATCTGAGTGCTATGATACATCCAAAATTCTAGTGAATGAAGTGTATGATGACTACAAGTTTGTGGGGGGCTGGAGACAACACCATGAAGTAACATTGACCAAGACTTTGAAAAACAAACAGAAATCTGATCGGGGTGGGCATTCCAGGCAGAGCTATTGTTAGGGACAAAAGCATGAAAACATGGGTGCATATCTAAGTTAAATATCCCTCCCCCCCCAAATAAGAGTGAGTCCACTAAAAGCTGAAATAAAAGTCTTAGGAAAATCTAATTTACTCTTTATAAGTTATATATCAGAATCCTCGAGACGGAAGTAGCTGGGAGTGACTTTCTCTGATACTCTCTGTTCTCTTTAATTTGGTTAGCTAATTATCTTTACCAAATTGGAGAATTTATATGTTTAGGAGGGCTGGATTCCAAGGGAAAGGAGACAAGGATCACAAGTGTTCCTAAAGGAATACGTGTTTAGTATATTCCCCAAACTACACACACACACACACACACACACACTCTTCTACATATACTATCATCTTTCTAAAATACCATAAAATGTTACCTACTAAGCAATCTTTAGAATAATTTCAAGATGGAAATCTGTTTGCAATATAATCCATGAATATCTATTTCTGATTTATTAACCCTGTAACTGGATAAACACTTGTACCCCTTTCTGCCAAAGTATTTATGGAAGCCTGAACTGCTAATTCTTGAATCCTGAGGGGTGAGAGGTAACCAGAGAGCTCACCCAACATTACTTTTTAGAAGAAATCTTGCTGCAGTAGATTTTTTTTCTTTTTTTTTTTTTTTAAAACCGTCATGCTGAGAATGAGCCTATTGGGAAAATATAAGAAAATGGTCAGGCCCCTCAGATGTTCAGAATCTTGCTGAGCATCTGATATTTATATCAGCTGGATGCACGTGCATATAAATTTGCTGTTCCTTGTTTATTGTCTAATGTAATTGTGCATATGCACCCAGGTGTTTTGGGTTATGGACTTAAGTAAAAAGGACTAAGGGCTCTGATACACAGCGCTTCTTTCAGGACGCTCTGGGAAGCCACTAGGGCAGCTGCTGCTAGCTCTGAATAAAGCCTATTAATTTTTTACCCATGGCTCCCAGGACCCTTTCCTATTACCTAGCTTGTAGACCTGGGTGTGGAGGGTTTGTGACCCAGTCTGTACAATGGGCTAGAGGGGTCTGTGAGCCCTAGCTTTACAGAGTCCCACGTGGTGGGCTCAAGTGAAGACGCACTGCCTGCGTAACTAGAAGAGCTGACAGATGATGCCCAGCACCACAGTAGTTATTTCTTTTTAAAGAAAAATTGAGCAGATAGTAGAGTTCCCATATACCCTCCTCCCCCTCCATAAGTTTCCCCCATTATTAACATATTGCATTAGTATGGTACATGTGCTACGATTAATGAATGAATATTGGAACATTTATTATTAACTAAAGTCCAAAGTTTACACTGAGTTTCACTTTGTTTTGTAAATTTCTATGACTTGGACTCATCTCCCGAGCTGCTTTTCACATTTTCAGTTCCATAGCTTTAAATGCCATCTAATGCTGACGATTTCCAAACGAGCATCTTCACGTGAGCCCCTTCCCCTGAGCTCCTGACATTGATATCCGAGCAATGCAGCATAGTAGTTAGGGCCACAGACTCTGGAGGCAAACTGGCTCTGCTGAATCCTGGCTCTGACACTTATTAGCTATGTGAACATGAACAAGTTATTTAACCTCTCTGTGCCTTATTGGTAAGTTGCTTTATCTGCAAAATGAGAATAACAGAATCAAGCTCATAGGGTTGTGAGGACTGAATGAGTTAGTACTCAAAAGCCACTTTGAACAACGCCTGGTGCACAATAAGAACTCAATTGGAACTAGCCAGTTAGCTCAGTTGGTTGGAGCATGGTGTTGGTAACACCAAGGTCCAGGGTTTGATCACTGCACTGGCCAGCCACACCAAAAAAAAAAAAGAGAGCTCAATTAATATCAACTACCTACCATGACCTCTGCCCTCCTCTCATACCATTCCTTTCTTGACAATGCTTCAGCCACACTGGGCTTCTTTTTTTTTTTTTCCCTTTTTTTGTCTTTTTTCGTGACCGGCAACGGATCGCAACCCTCAGGGTCGCGTCCATACCAGACAGGGACCGGCTACGGGATCGCAACCCTCGGTGTTGCACCCGCACCTCGCTCAGCCAGTGAGCGGCCGGTCTGTATGTGGGATCCGAACCCTCGGCGGGAGCGCCGCCACGCTCCCAAGCGGCGCACTGTAGCAGTGTGCCACCGGGCCGGCCCCCACACTGGGCTTCTTTATTCTCTGAACATACCAAGTACTTATTTCTATCCAAGGGCCTTTGTACTAGTTGATCCCTCTGCCTAGACCTCTTGTCTCTTATTCTGTGCATGGTTGGCTCATTCTTAGCTCAAATTGCAATTCCTCAGAGAGGTTTTCACTGACTGCTCTTTCTAAAGTGATATCCCCCCATCACTTTCTCATCTCACCTCATTCATTTTCTTCACAGAACTTGCTAGCATCATAAATCATGTTTACTCATTTGTCTTCTATATAGTCTGTCAGAACTTTACCTAATTAATTCATCACCATATCCTGGGCCTAAAATAGTGCCTGGCATTTAGTAGGTACTCAAACATTTGATTAATAAAAAACCAAAGGAATGATCTTAAACCTTTACCTTTCAATCATTGCTGCTGCTTCTTTTTTTATTGTGGTAAAATATACATAAAATTGATCATTTTTGCCTTTTTTAAGTATACAGTACTGTTGCATTAAGTACTTTCACAATGTTGTGCAACCATCACCATCATCCATCTCCAGAACTTCTTCATCTTCCCCTATGGAATTAAGCAATAACTCTCCATCACCACTACCACTACCACCACCCTCTATTTCCTGGCAACCATCATTCTACTTAATGTCTCTATGAATTTGATTACTCTGGGAATCTCGTATAAGAGGAATCATACAATATTTGTCCTTTTGTGCCTGCCTTATTTGACTCAGCCTAACGTCTTCAAGGTTCATCCATGCTGTAGCATGTGTCAGAATTTCCTTTTTTAATGTGGAACAATATTCCATTGTACATACATATACACCATATTTTGTATATCTTCATCCAATGATGGACTTTCCATCTTTTGGCTATTATGAATAATGCTACTCACTGTTTCTTCCTGGTTAATCTCTCAAGCTCTACTTCATCAATATTCCTTACCACCCAAATAAAATATTTTGATGCAGACTCCTTACTTTCCACATCATTATGTGTTATAAAAAACTTAAACCATTTAAGAGAATCCAGAAAGGGAAGCTTGTAGATCTCTCACTTACTATGCCCTGGAGCATTCTGAGATGGGTTGTACCTTTCACACAAGGCATTATTATAACCTAACCAATGCAAAGAGGATAGCAATGAGATACCAGTTCCAGGAGACAAACAGAAGAGCAGTAGCACTATGTGTGCTTGGGCCTGTGCCAACATACATACAGTTTGATCTTCCTGACTGAATGTGAAATTCTCTCATTGTGGCATAGAAAAGAAATAAGG